TCTCTCTCTCTCTCTCTCTCTCTCTCTCTCTCTCTCTCTCTCTCTCTCTCTCTCGCTCTCTCTCTCTTTTACTCCCTCCTCTCTGTCTCTTTCTTTCTCCGACAACTCGTCGGTAGACGGCAGAAAGAGGATATTTTTTCGAATTTTTTTATTCCTTGTGAAGAGCACTTGACGCACGGTGACTCGGTCGTGCGGTCGTAATTATACATCAAGAATTACGTCCAAATGGTGCGTGGTGTCTCGACCACGAGTTTTAAATGAAATAAATGTGGGCAGAGAACATCGACTAGTAGCGAGTTGCATAATGGCGAATAATTCTCTTTAATGATTCACAGAAAGACATATAGTGTGGCCGCGTATATACATGTCTTCCTTGCGGTTAATCTAGAAAAGTGTATAATATTGAGTTCAGAAATCACACAAAATGGTAGAAACGCTTCAAGTGTCCCATCCTGAAGAATATTGTAGCGTAAGTTAATAGAGAAATACCTAGCAACTTTAGTCTTGTATAATATGAGTTTATAATGGAAGGGTTTATAACGAAACAAGCTCGTCTAGCTGATTGAATTGTTATCCTTATTCCTTCATATATCAATCATTCTACAAATCAGTCATTCTACCATATATTCTACCAATGTACATTGATGCATTATATATGATTAAACGTCGGGTGAAATTCATTGCAAAAAGTAAATCGATTGCTGTTTCAATACGCAGCATGCAATACCGAAATGTAAGATGCCGAAGCTTTCATGACCTAAAAACAATTTGCTTAGAAATAAGAGAAATAACGACAAAAATATGCTGATGTAATATTCTTCTTAATCTGAAGCTTATTAATATAACGTATACGTTGGCACATTTTGAATAATGTTAAACTGTGATATTTATTCGTATATAAATGCGAATTATCGAAAGCATATTTCTTACATAACAACACGAATACATTTTTATGCAATTAAAATAATCGCACTTATATTATGTAGCGTAAAAATCTTACACTCGTGAAGCCTTCCAGAGTCAAATCCATGACATTCCCAGCAGTGATCGTCAAACGTTTCTGCGACCTGACGATAATCAGTAATAAAAGTCGGCATTCTTTAATTGGCAGATCGTACCAAAGTGTCTCGTATGCCGCATCGCCAATGGACCTGCTCTGAGAAAGGGAAAACAATTGTGGATTAAGACAGACAATTGGATTATAACAGACAATCGCGACAAACTGAACACGCTATCTTAAATACTTATGAAAAACTTATGAAAACATATCTCGTGATTTAATCATCAAAATTAGAAAAGATATTTATTCAGTAGAAGTTCTATGCAATAGAAAATTCTCGAACTTAGGATACGAATTTAGAAATATGATCAGAAATTAAAAATTAAGAATATTCGAAAATATGGATTTATATAAGCAACTCAAAACAAACGAACCGTGCTAACCTTAGTGCTCAGATATTCACCGGCAAAGCAGAAAACGAAAGCTTCTAACGTTACCGCAAAATACGGAATGATTGATTGTATCAATATTCCAAATTTTCCCTCCATGTCCGTGGCTAAAGACTGTGTAACAATGCGTCAAATTATTTTAGCGGAGTTACTTATAAGATCATATGTGCATAGCCTCGAGAATTCAAGTATTAAACGCGCAAAATAACATATTCTTCTGTTATTATAAACAATGCTGCAATATAACAGCGAAATTATTTGAAAAAAATCGTATATTTCAAATCGTTTTATTGCTACTGTTGCATTAATATGGATTGGGCCGCGGAATGATCGTAATTGAAATAAAAGTGCAATAGTAAAGAGGCTTTTTCCACATTCCAAAAATGCATTCTGCATAATTTCAAGGCAGATTCTTGTCCTTTGCAAAATTTTGCTCGCTGTGAGCAAAGCGGCTTCACTCACTAGTACGATCATGAATCCTATGGTGCAGATCACCACGGTATTCCATAAGAATTGTATCATCGCGACGAATGAGAAGAACTTGTCGATATTATTCGACAAAGATATAATCCGCTGATGCCGCTCAATGAGCGCTCTCGTGGTTGACAGATGGAACTTTCCCGTGACGGAAATTGCTCTCAAGCCTTGGCACATGATATCTATTTGTCCGCTCACGTGAAGGACCTCGAAATAGAAACTGCGATGTCTCAAGAAACGCTCCCGCTTCTATGATTCAATCGATTGAAGGACACCATCGCGGGCTCCATTCAATCCGGATTCGTCTGATTCGCAACCGTCCGTCATCCATCGGTATTCCGACTTACCAATGTTAAAATCAATGAGTTCAGCATCGCTATCACCACCGCCGTCTCCCACACGTGCAGAAACAATCCCAGAACGATGAACTCAAAGATCGGCGAATTGGTGGCATTAAACGAGAACTGCATTTGCACCGGGAACTCCCGAGGTTCATCTGCGGAAATCGTACGGTGACTTACGTAATTGCCGAGGAAGTAAAACACAGTGGACAAGGTGTTGAGAATCATCATGGCGTTGGAGCACCGATGCGCCAGAGTGGCCTTGCTCGTCATCACTAAGGCATGAGAATCCGTAACGCAGTTGTCGTTCCAGTCGTCGTCCATCGCGACCAATATGTCCGAGAATATTCTGCGATTGATCATTGATCTTCGGTAACGCTTCTTCCTCTCTCTCTCTCTTTTTCTCTCGCGAGGAAGTCGCGGGTCTTACCGGCGATTGTGCCAAAGACTCAGCAACTTCATGAACGTCAGGGTGTAATCCAGAGTGACGCTCAGGCCGTCCATCAGCTTGGAGAAGTCGTTTATGTTCAAGTGCGCGTACACATAGGAGTACTGGTGGTACTGCATGATGATAAGGGTGATCATGTAAAAGAGCCAGAGGAATGTCGCGCACGAAGAACCAGGCCACATGCCGATCAAGCTGAGACCGACCTTCAGCGGAGAGCTTATGGTACTGATCGTCATAGCAGCTCATGGATTGATTCTGGTCAACGTGGCTGATTAACTGTGCGTGTCGTCGCTTCCAGACAAAACGATTCTCAACAACTATCGGGAGCAAGCGGTGAACGAAATGCGAAGCGAAAAGAACAGTCTTTTTCTCTCTCTTTCTCTCTCTCTCTCTCTCTTTCTGTCTCGATGTAGCGCACTGCGCGATCCCCACTACTATACAAAGAGATAGATTTGCAGAGAATAAAGCCACCAGCCGGTAGCATGAGCATCGATCAATCGCAATTACGTATCCCACTCTCTGCGTGGAGCTCCGCGCAAGTACCGCTAAATCGCGGCGACAGTCCGGTAATTATGAGATTTTCCGTCTTGCGTCGGGAAAAAAGGACAGCATCGGTCGCCGACTTTTTACTACAGCGAGAAGCGCATGATAGAACAACTACAGCAAATAATTTTCTTTTAAAACTCGCGATCGTTACGGTCCCGCCGGAGAAGAGCGGCAGTTTTATTACAAGTGAGATGCGGTAGGAACAGGTAGGAAATTATACGTGTAATAGGTCTGAAAATGAGATACACGTAATGTAAAACAAATTGATAATGACATCGTTCGTTGGAATATTAACTTTAACGCAGGAGAAAAATGTCGCTCTCCGTTCGGGATAAGGCAATGGCAGTAAGAACTACAACATTTAGTCCCGTATTTTCCAACGTATGCGTAGTAACAATAATTATTTCTTTGTGATACTATGGTTAAAGTATACATGAGTGTATTTTGCGTTTGTAATCTTCCATAATTCATAGCATTTTATATAGGGTGTCTAACAATTCATGACACACCGATTGCGTGTCAATAATTCTCAGACATCCTGTTTATATTTGATATTTTTACATATTTATCATATCTTATATATGTATATATCATTTTGATCAAATAATTTAAAAATTGAGTACAATTTGCGTTTGTGAATAACAAAATATTTGCGGATAGAATTTGTCAAGAGCATTTATATCTGATTTACACCTGATTCTTCATCTCATAACCTGTTTCTTGTTGAAAAGAAAAGCAACGCAATAGCGGAGTTCTATCAAGTTTACGAGTAACATCGATCAATGGTTATCGATAACAAAAGAAAGGCAAAATCAATGCTAACCATCTTTATCAATCTTTCTACAAATGTACATTGCTACTTTGCCCGCACACGATGAATTTACTATATATGTATAATCAACATAAATTGTCTCGGTTCTCAGTACATCGCGTGTAGCACTGAAATGTACGACGCTGAAGCTTTCATGACCTAAAAGAACGTTCTTTTATACAGATAGAAATATCAAGACGAGCAGTTTTCTTTGAAGTTTAACGATAGTCAGTGCACGTATTGACATTTTTCTCAAATTATTAAGTATGATCCCGATTGAGACATTTGTCCAACAATCTCGTAATACACTAGTTGCTTATTTTAAGCAAGAACGCGAACTGAATTGGTCGTTTAACGGAAAAGACTTACGGAAGTAAAGCCCTCGAGTGACAGGTCCATAACTTTTCCGGCCGAGATCGTCAATCGTTTCTGAGATCTGAGTATCATGAATAATAAAATTCGGCACTCGCTGGGAGATAAATCATACCAAACTGCCTCATATGCCGCGTCGCCGATAGATCTGCTCTGAAAAAAACAGGAAAACTACGAATTACAAAGTTATATATGTATTACAACGCCATAAAATTCTTCCCTACTTGACTAAATGGAAACATTTGCGATTCGACCGCTTTGTAAAAAGACCATTCATATTTTTATAATTGAAAATATTAAAATCAGAAAATTGATGATAAACGAAAGAATAAACGTGCTAACCTTAGTGCTTAAGTATTCGCCGGCAAAACAGAAAACGAACGCTTCTATAGTTACTGCGAAATAGGGGATAATAAATTGTATCAGTATTCCGGATTTACTCTCCATATTTATACCTAAGGACTAAGTAACAAGATGTTAAATTGTTCCACGTTTAAAAACACGACCACAAACATTTAGAAAGCGTGCATATTTTTAAGATATTATTACGTGTCATAATATATCCTACTTATACTTAAAAATAATACTGGATAAATTAGGTATTAGATAGGTTGTATTATTTTTATACAACATTAATATGTAATAACAATAATAATAACATTCCATATAATACCAAAGTTCAGAGGAAATTCTGCGGACATAAAGACTAAGCAATTTATTGCTACGGTAACTGAAGAAGTCTTACTTACTATTACAACCATGAATCCTATGGAGCAGATAACTAAGGTGTTCCATACGAACTGCAGGAGCGCGACAAACGAGAAGAAGTTCTCGATATTTTTCGACAGCGATATGATCTTCTGGTGTAGCCTGACGAGCGATTTCATCGGATTGGATTTGCACGTGGAAGGAATCGCTTTCAACTCTCGACACATAATATCGATCTGTCCACTTACGTGAAGTACCTTTAAGTGAAAACTCAGGTTTTGAAGTAACTTTTGTTTGAATTCGAATTGACTCGAGCGCAACCGTTAACTAATAATCGGCTTAGGAATAAAGAGGACTTTTGGCATTTCAGTATTCTAAGGACACAAATTAATGTTTCTGTGCAACTTACCGTGTATCGGCCTTTAAAATATAAAATAAATAATAAAAATAAACTCAACTTTTAAAAATCAATTAAAATCATGAAATCAAAAAATCAATTGAAATAAAAAGTCAATGATCAAAAAAGAAGTTAGTTAGAGTGAAAGAATCGATCAAAATATCATTGATTTGCAATATCATATCATCGACGGTAGAGAATTTTCGAGTATTATTCGAATATATAACTTCATCTGACAATCACTCGGCTCGAAAACGTGCTCGTGTCTGGACTTACCAACGTCAAGATCAACGCGTTCAACATGGCGATCACGGTCGCCGTTTCCAGTACGTGAAAGAACAGCCCCAACAGGACAAACTCGAAAGTAGGGGATTCTTGGACCTCGAACGGCAACTGTACCTGCACCGGGAACTCACGGTGCTGCCCGTCCTTGGAAATCATCCGGTGCCGTACTTGGCTGTCGACGAAATAGAGAACAGTGGCTACGGCGTTGATGGACATCATGACGTTGGAGCATCGATGCGCCAAGTTAGCCTTGTCGGTCATCACGCACTCCTGCAACTCGCTGGAGCAGTCCTTCCAGTCGTCGTCCATCGCGGCCAAGATATCCGCGAATATCCTGCAACCGATCGCTGATCTCTGCTTCTCACAAGGAAGAAGAAGACTTCGAGTGGACCACGAGAGAAACCGCGAATGACATCTTCTCACTGATCTTACCGGCGATTGGGCCAAAGGCAGAGCAGCTTCAAGATCGTCAGCGTATAGTCCAAAGTCAGGCCCAGGCCATCCATCAGTTTCGTGAGGTTGTTGAAGTCCAAGTGCGTGTACACGTAGGAGTACTGAAAGTACTGCATCACCAGGAGGCTCGCCATGTAGAAGAGCCAGTAAAGCGTCCCGTACGAGGTGCCGGGCCACATACCGATCAGACTCAAACCGATCTTCAGAGAGGGGCTTATCGTGCTCGTCGACATGGCGGTGTAGCGGAGCTTCGCGCTGGATCATCACTCCGACAAGCAGCGCACGTACTCGTCCCCGTGCAACGACAGCGAGTAACGACTGCCGGGGTGTGTGGCCGCAAAGAAAGCGTGAAAGCGCTTGATATCCGCCGATGTAAGCTCGTAATATGCCTTCCCTTCTTTAACTTCGCAGAAAAGGCAGGCAATTTCACGAGGTAAACGCACCGCACACGGTGGCGCGAGCAACGACGATCAATCGCAATTACATGTATCCATCTAGCGGTGCTGACAATGCCCGACGACAATGTTAAATTGCAACGACGGGGATTAACGATTATGGCGCGCAAAAAAGATACGCGCGCAGTACGGCCGTCGCGTGAAATGACCGTCTTTAAAAATGCAGGCGCAGTGCGGTCATTGTAATCGGTGAGCTTCGTTGAAAAAGGAAAAAAAGGAAAAGAAAAGAGCTATCAGGAGAAGCAAGAGACTTTACTAAATAGCCCTTGATAAATTCTGAAAATTAGATCTTGCCGTGGAGGCGGTTACGCTTTTATCGTCGAACGATGGTCGGATATTTACTGTTACGTGTAGAAAATGGAAAACGTCGCGGATAAGAGGGTTACTGAACTGGCGGATTGCAATTTCGAGCGAGGAGATAATAAAGCTATATTTACGGAATATGTACACGAGTTTCCGCAAGTTATTGTTACAGTTATTGTTAAACTATGTATTCGCGCAGTTTGTTCTTCGCGTCTACCGCGGAATTCTGTTGAAAAAGCACGAAACGGACTGCTTTCATCATCGATACAAAGTGAGATACGTATAAAACATTCGTATGCAAAACGAGGTGCGTATAAAATGAACGTGTTCAGATGATTTTTACTAAAGATTCCACATGTTACAACTGATGCGACGTTCCCCGTTTCTCAATGACGAGGTTTAATGAAATTAATGCGAGCGGAGAATACTCTCTTCCGTTTAGTACATCGCGTACAATACTGACATGTACGAGCCGCAAGCTTTCATTACCTGCAAAAAATGTATTCTAGAGAATCTGGGAGAAATGCGGGAATTCATTCATCTTACATTCGTAAATCCTTCCAATGTCAAATCGGCGACTTTGCCCGCGGTGATCGTCAGTCGCTTTTGAGATCTCACCATTATGAACAGCAAAACACGACTGTCGGAAGGTGACATGTCGTACCAAAGTGACTCATACACTGCGTCACTGATTGATTTACTCTGAAAGAGGCACGATATAACTTTAGAAACAAGACAAACGCCCAAACGTCTTTCATTGAAATATTTCTAAAAACAAATATCTCTCTTGCTCTTTCTCCCTCTCCTTCTTTCTTTCTCAAGGTATATCGTAATAAATCTTATAATTATTGATTTTTGGATGATACATATCGTTCGGTAAAGCTGACATCGGCAACAGGTATTTATAATTGTCTAAAGTACTATTTGTAATATAATTTATGTAGAGAGAAACAAATTGCGCGCAAGATCGTCGCGGTCGAAATAGAGAACACTTCGTTACAAACCTTGGCACTCAAGAATTCCCCCGCGTAGCAAAATACGAAAACTTCTAACACTTTCACGATGCAAGGTAGCAGTGATCTGACCACGTTCGAGGAGTCTTCGTTGCTGTTGAGACCCTGTGATCAGACGAGGAAGCGAAAATCATGAATAAGAAAGACTAAACAAAGTCGATCTTGCTTACAATTATGATTAGGAAACCGGCACAACAAATAATCAAAGTGTTCCACAGAATCTGCATGAGAGCGATGGCGGAAAATACGGTTTCGATGCTGTTTGACATAGTGATAATCTTCTGATGCCTGCAAATAAGATCTCTGAGGACGGGTGGGGATGTACCGTAGTCGATGGACATTTGCATTAAAGCTTGGTTCATGATGTCAATTTGCCCACCTACGTGCAGCACCTGTCAATACAAAGCAATGCATAATAGTACTATTTGATTCGAAAAGCATGCGAGATTAATGGAAGGAAAATAATTTAAACATTTTATGCTGTAGCACTTATTTGTATGTAAAGAATATGAAAGAACTAAGAATGGAAGGAAAATAATGAAAACATTTTATGTTGTAGCACTTATTTGTCTGTAAATAACTAAGAATATTAAACAAATTTAGAATTGAAGAATCTAAAAATATAGAAAAATCTAAAATAAAGAATATGAAACAAACCAAAAATAACATTTATCTCTCTAATAAATTACATGATCGACTTACCAACGTGGAGAGTAACGCGTTCACCATACCAACTATAGTGGCCAGCGACATTTCATAAATAATCTGTCCGATCACGATGAACTCGTAGATCGGCGACTCCTTCACGTCAAAAGAGAACTCCATCTTCACCGGGAATTCTCGAGAAATCTCATTGTCCGCGTATTTCACTAAGCGCACCACGTAAAAGACAACCGACAAAAAGAACCCAGCTATAACGTGACTGCCGATAAGCACGTTGGCACATCGACGCGACAAATCCGCCAGTTTCGTCATAGAGAGCCCATAAGAGTTGCTAACGCAGTCTTTCCAGTCACTATCTATCGTCATCAGGATGCAGCAGAATATCCTGCAGAAAGTGGAGCAGACAGTCTCAAACAAATGGCCTTGCAGTCATAGCGAAAGTGACATAGATTCGAGAAATTGGCTGAATAAGTGATTAGTAAACACTGCGACATCGTATATATCGTGTATTTGATCAATATATAGATGATAGAGACGGAATTTCTATCTGAGAGCTGTTTGTGAAATTTAGCAAGAAAATCTCTCTTCGTGGTGCCAATTCAATGAAGTAAAGCCAGTCACACTTCGTATAAAAATTGACTGTGGTAGACAGAAAAGACCAGAGACGAGAGAGGCAAACGAATGTTTATAATCCTCATACCCACCTCTGAATTTGCATGCAGATATTGTTAGAATGCTGCTGCTGCAAATTCTACGTACCACAGACAATTTTCTAGCAGATACAAAAACATAACGATAAATTTTAACTGTAGTGTCGAGAATTCTGGACTAACGAAACATTTTTTTGAGTACACCGAGAGATTGCATGAACTGGCGAAAAGAACTTTGTGTGTCGAGAATATCTAGACGCGTAGTTAGAAAATATTGATTATTTATTAGTCATTAGTTTCGTGTCAAAACACACATAATCTCGATTGTATTCCTCCAAAAAATTCTTCGATAATTTTGCCTAAAGTTTGGTTTCGATTTCTCATATCACGATAAGAAAGAAGTATTTGATATTTGTAACAATAATTGCGTAATGAAGTAATAGTTGATACAATCATTTTTGTAGCAAGTACTGCTGTAATTAATGCTGATAATCTTATATGCATTATTATATTGCTGCTACTGCTTTTTGTTAGAATAACAAAAACATATCGTTAGAGACAAAAGTGACTGCAGTTTTACTGAAATTAATTATGCTTTTCCTTCGGTATGAGATTACTTTCCATCACTTTATATAAGCGTTACACAATTAAGAAGATATCGTATCATTTTATTGTTGCAGTTGTAATAATGAATTATCGTGTCGGACGTCGGTCAGAAATGAGTAAGACGCCTTACCGCCGGTTCCACCACAGAGCGAAGAGCTTAAGAAAAGTGAGGGTGTTCGCCAAGGTGACGCCAAGACTGTCAATTAAGAGCGAGAGGTTGTTCAGATCAAAATGTGTGAATATGTAAGCGTACTGATGATACTGCGATATCGCAATCGCCGTCATATAAATTGACAATTGCAGATTCGGATGAACCGAGTCCGGCCACATGCCAATGGAACGAAGGCAGATTTCGACTAGGAGACTGATGTTACTTGTGCGCTTCATCGCTTCTCGGTGACTGCCACGGCGACGTTACCGTAAAAAGCGCGAAGGCGCGCAGGACGCTCAATATATTCCACGAAATGACGGCGAGCTGTATTTTTCGCAACGGAGACACGACAAAGTGGAGTTCACTGTCGCGGACATCGATCAATCGTAATTATAATTATACTTCGGATATTTTCATCGCATCAATTCTCGGAAGCTTGTAGGTGCGCGGATTAGAAAGGAAAACGTAGCGAACGCGTGCTTCTGAGTCAATGAACAACTTAGCAGTGCATTATAGCGTATAATTGCGCCATGGATTTCTATTCGCGAAGAGAACAGCGCGCAGCTATATTATCCAACGGGATAAATTTATGCACCGGGTCTCGGTAAGGACATTAATATTCCGCGAAATGCAAGCTAAAGAGGAAAAAGAGCACGAGACGTTCATCATAGTTCAATGCTAATATTTATCTCTCATTTCCGCATTCGTATACTGTCCACTTTTTTGTGCGGGTAAAAACATGCGAAAAATATTAATTGTGTTATTCATCACACACACGAAGGATTGAACGCGGCAGCAGCATAAAGAAATCCTCGTTGAAAATTTAAACGCGGGTGGTCGCAATCATTGATGATCACCGGTGAGAAATAAAATCAAAAAGCTCACTGGTAAAAAAGGTAGGATCTTATGCTGTCGGTGGAACGCAAAGTTAAATTCTGCAAACATGCAAATAGCATGCAGCATATTTATCAGATGGAAATTTTATAGATCAGATACATACGTCACGAAGGAGTAGAAAAACGTCGAGATATGACAGGCGTTGCTGGCGAGAAAGATAAAAATGTACATTTTTCTGTTCTACATTATCATTATATCTTTTTGTCATTATTAAAATATTCTATATTCATACAGTACGCTTGTTCCGTGTCTGTAACAAATTTTTATTGGCAGAGCTTCAGACGAGCCGGTTATTACATATCTCAGCGCACATTGTTCGTATAAAATGAACTGATATTGAGACTGTGTCTCGCTTGCTTTGACCCCAACATCAACTTTCTATGCCTCGTAATTCATGGATCATAACGTATATGTGACACTTTTTCAGCTCGTCCGTAGAAATTGCCGCGGGTGGATCATATTTCTTCGAATTTAATACATCGCATGTAATACAGACATGTAAGAAGCAGACGTCTTCATGACCTGGAAAACATAAATTCCCTCGCAGGATCTGAAGAATGAAAAGAGTGCGTATTTGTGCCATAATATCTCACGCTCATAAATCCATCCAAAGTCAAGTCAACAATTTTCCCAGCGGTGATTGTCAGTCGCTTTTGGGATCGCACTATTATGAACAATAAAACGCGACTAGTGGACGGTAACATGTCGTACCACATCGACTCGTAAACTGCATCGCTAATCGACTTACTCTGGGAAAACGTACGATTCAAGTTCAAAACAAGGGCTCAAAATAAGATTCAAAATAATCGCTGAAATGTTCTTTTTAAGAGCTCAAAAGATATCTTATAAGTTTGAAAAATTTTTTTAACAAATGTAAAAAATTAGCTGTAGTGACGATCTATGCTGTTGTGTGCTTGTACATTCAAACTGAACAAAAAAGTCCTTTATTAATTTGCAAATAATTATATAGATTTTTAGTTATTAATGAAAGAAAATTGTTATGTAATAATTACGCGATAATACACAAATCTTCTTTAATTATAGGACTTTTGTGTTCATCTCAATCCGTTTTACGTTCCCAAAAAAATTGTGGAGAAGAGTAGGACATCCATATATTTTGTGCATACAAAGGAAAATTCTAAAATTCTAAAACGTATATTTTATTCACATACCTTGGCGCTTAAGAACTCCCCCGCGTAACAAAATACAAATACCTCTATCGTTTTGGCGACATAAAGAAGCATAGATTTCACTAAGACCGAAACTCTTTTGCTGCTGCTGAGAGTCTGCGAACGCAGACGGTGAACGTATTGACGAAAGATTGGAAACTTGAAACCATTCATCTTACTTACAATTACAATCATGAGGCCGCTACAGCAAATAATCAGAGTGTTCCAGAGGAGTTGCATCAACGCGATAACTGTAAATACGCTTTCTATCTTATCCGACAGGGCGATGATTTTCCGATGTGTGAAAACAAGATCCCTGATAATGGCCAACGACTCACGAGGATTGTCGCTGACAGATATTTGCATCAGATCTCGTTTCATAATGTCAATTTGGCTACCAACGTGAAGTACCTGTAAGTGCAAACCAAATTAGCAATGTTGCTAGATCTAAGAATAAGAATAGAATAGAATAGAATAAGAATAGAATAAGAATAGAATAAAACTAGAATAGGATAAGTTATAAAATAGGATATAGAATAAGAATAGAATAAGAATAAGAAGCGTTAATTCGCAAAATCATTGAGCAGCACTGCTCATTTTATACCGCGTGCGTACATCTAATTATATGTTCAAAAAGTATAGAAATATCACAAATTTGGCTAAATTTGTAATACCATATTTCAGGGCCTTTCTTTATTGGATGAAGTTATACTAACCTAATGTAGAGTGATTTGTCGATTAGATTTTGTTTGACAGTGCGACAAAGTGAACACCCGTATCCTTGCGTTTATTGTTTTGACTATTCCTTCGTTTTTGGAATGAAGTGGTAGACCCAGGTTTCGTCCAAAGGTTATAAATCGGTCTTTCCTAAAAGTTCTTTAGATTGTGATACAAGCATGCCAAAAGATGCGAAAAACAATAAAACTGTCCAGTTCAGTTTTGGCTGGTGTGACCAAACACGAGAGCTGTCACACACAAAGTTCACTTTAGCGCACAGTCAAATTAATCCACAAATCTCTTTATGCTATCACATTTATTTTGATCTAATGAAAGAAGATCTGAAGTAACTAAACATTTCTGAAGACAATAATCAAATTCGCGCTCTCTCTGTATTAGACCACGTATTTTTTGAACGACCCACGTAACGATGGTCCTTGTGGACGTCATCAACTTACCAAGCAGGAGAGCAACGCATTGATCATACCAACTATGGAGGCAATTGTCAATATGCAAAGAAATTGTCCAATCAAAATGCATTCGAACAGCGGCGATTTGGTGAAATCGAAGGAAAAATCCATTTTCACAGGCAGCTCCCGAACATCAGTACTTGTTGCGTGGAATATGTAAGCACCGACTGACAAGGAGAAACCAGCCATAGCGTGGATACCGATGAGCAGGTAAGAACAACGACGCGCCTTACGGGCTGCTATCATCATGGTAAACCGTGAAAAATCGCAATTAATGCCCTCCTTCCAGTCTTTATTAATCGCCGACAAGATATAATGGAATATCCTGCACAAAGTAGTTTACATGCGGAACTGTTGGAAGAAGCTGCGGAATTGATCGGTTTCAGCGATGAAATGAAACTCGAAATATCGGCACCACCTGGTTGTTTGGAGTTTCAGTATGATGATATTAAAGTGAACGTAAAGAGCAACGCAAAAAGTGAATCATAAATCGCAATAAATAATAAATTTACAGAGTTAATTACCCCGGCTAATTCTGCGCTATAAAACAACCCATGAGACATTCCCAATAATAAACATTGTCTATCATATATTAACACATCGAATGTCTTTAATTAAAATTTCTTTATCAGGAATTACACTTTACCAACAACGTGCCTTTGCGCCACTTATCAGTCGCGTAATGAGGGCGATGGTGTGTCTTACCGGCGATTCCATCTGAGCATGATAAGTTTCAGCATGGCGAGACTGTTCGCCAGAGACAGACCGAGGCAGTCCATCAACAGCGAAAGATCACGGGCGTCAAAATGCGCAACAACATATGAATATTGATAATACTGCACCACCGTTAAAAATGTCATGTATGACGTCCAGTAAAGATCCGGATAGGCCGAATCCGGCCACAAGCCGATGAAACGAAGACCGATCTCGACCCAGGGACTGATAGTAGTTGCACGTACCATCGTTTTGCGACGACTGCACGTCAGCGTAAGAAACGCATGTCATTCGATTTGTGCGATGCACGCGGTGACGGCAAAAGCACTGAGTAATCATATCGGAGACAATAACACGTAAGCGACGCCGAGGATCGATCAGTCGTAATTGCGCTTTGGTTATTCTGATCGCATTAGTTTGTTAGAGGCTTACGAGCCCATCGATCATAAGAAAAGAGAGAAACTGGAAAAAAAACACGACTACGTTCGACTCCCTTCTGAGTCAGTGAGCAATTCAACAGCGTTGCACGATGGCTATAATTACCATGAAAATTGCCATCCTAGAAGCCGGTTCTGCGGACAGATTATGTCCAACGGTGGAAAATACACGTGCGATCATGTTAAAATGGTTGTGCTCAGAACGTAAACGCGTAAACCGCACAGAAGAAATAGAGAACATTGTTATTATGGATATTATGGCTAGACAGTGATATTTCTGGCGTAATGATCTCATCGAGTCCGTTGCCCTTCACTTACACGTGTTATATTCTCCTGCTTCTGTCTCACATGTGACTAGAGGAAGAAGCTTCCAGAATTACGAGAGTGCAGCCGACAGTGCCAGCTTTATCAACATACGACATAATAACGTAAAACAAAATAAATAATCTACGCGATCTTGATTTTCACTTAAACATTATTAATTGGTCGACCAAAACTGTCGAAACACTTTAATAAAGTGTTCAAGCACGTCTTTGAAGGCAAATAGTCGCGCAGAGAATGTGGCTGGACAAAAAAGGTATATAACGCGAAAGTGTATCTCTTTTCTATATATTTTAAAAAGTTATTAACAAGATATACTATATATTTATACAGTGCACTTGTTGAGAAAGCTTCAGACGAAGTGGTCATCATATATCTCAACGCACATTCTTCGTGTATAAAATAAATTTATATTGGTACAAGTTTTTGCTATTCCCTCGATTCCAATTCGATTTTCTACCTTTCGTAAATCATGGATCATAATCCATAATTTTTTACTACTCGTAAAAATTGTCATGGTTGGGTCACGTTTCTCTAAATTTAATACATCGCAAGTAATACAGACATATAAGAAGCAGACGCCTTCATAACCTGGAAAAAAATATATTTTCTTTGGGGACTCTGAAAAATAATCATAATGCTTTTGTGCCACAATATATCTCACACTGATAAATCTATCCAAAGTCAAGTCAATAACTCTGCCGGCAGTAATTGTCAGACGCTTCTGGGATCGCATTATTATAAACAATAAAACGCGACTAGTGGACGGTAACATGTCATACCACAGTGACTCATAAGCTGCATCGCTGATCGACTTATTCTGAAAAAAGGCACTATCCAAATTCAAAACAAACTCGCGATTGCTAGAATGTTCCTTTTATCGCTCAAAAAGTGCACAAGAAGCTTATATTATATATTTTAAAATATTTTTCAACAGATATGAGATATAATATAAAGCAGGAGACATTTGGAACATATAATATTTTATACACATAACTGTATATCATTTATCATAATATTAATATTACGTTAAACATGATGTATAATTTGGGATATGTATAAGCAAATTAATATGTACACATATATTATGTATATGAAAAGAAATTCTAAAGCATACAAATTTAATTGGCATACCTTGGAGCTTAAGAACTCCCCCGCGTAACAGAATACGAACACTTCCATCGTCTTAGCGACATAGAAAAATATCGATTTGATCAGAACCGACATGCCTTTGTTGTTGTTGATATTCTGCGACGTTAGAACATTAACGTAAGCATATTGACGATTGGAAGCGCGAAACAATTGATCTTACTTACAATTACGATTATGAGACCGGTGCTGCAAATAATCAGAGTATTCCAGAAGAGTTGCATCAACGCTATGAGTGTGAATACGCTTTCTATCTTGTCTGACAGGGCGATGATTTTCCGATGTCTGAAAACAAGGTCCCTGATGATGGCCATCGTCTCACGGGGATCGTCGCTGACAGATATTTGCATCAGATCTCGTCTCATAATGTCAATTTGGCTACCAACATGAAGTACCTGCGAGCGCATGCCAAATTTATAATGTTGCTGGCTTTAAGAAGCGTTAATTCACGAAATTATTGAACAGCACTACTCATTTCATATGTGCACACGCATATGTGTGCACATCTAATTATACGTTCAATAAGCACAGAAATAGCGTGAATTTGGCCAAATTTTTATTACCGTATTTTAGAATGTTCCTTTTACTGAATTAATTATCGTGCTAATATAGAGTGATTTATCAACTAGACTTTGTTTGATATTTATCAAAATGAACATCTCGAGTATTCCTTGCATTCGTTGCTTTGACTGTTTCCTTGTTTTTATAGCGGAATGGTAGACGCAGATTTCATCAAATGTTATAAATCGGTCCTTCTAAAAGTTTTTAAGATTTGGCAAAATCATGCCAAAAGGTACGAGAAGCAATACAAAATTTTCAATTTAGTCTTTGCTGGTGTGATCAAACGCAGGAGTCATCTCTCATAGAGTTTACTTCGGCGCGCACTATCAAAGACTAATCTACAGATCTCTCTATGCTATTATACATAATCTATTCTTATGAAGGAAGGCACTGAAGTATAACAATAAACATTTGATCAAATTCGCGCTGTCTCTGTATTAAGCCACATACTTTTTGAATGAATCACGTAAAGATGGTACTTGTAGGTGTAATCAACTTACCAAGCAGGCGAGCAACGCGTTGATCATACCGACTACAGAGGCAATTGTCACCATGCAAAAAAATTGTCCGATCAAAAGACATTCGAACAGCGGCGATTTTGTGAAATCGAAGGAAAAATGCATTTTTACGGGCAGCTCCCGAACATCGGTGCTTGCTACATGGAACATGTAAGCACCGGCTGACAAGGACAAACCAGTCATAGCGTGGATGCCGATGAGCAGGTAAGAACAATGACGCGACTTATCTGCCGCTACCATCATAGTAGAACGGGAAAAATCGCAGTTAATGGCCTCCTTCCAGTCATTATTAATCGCCGACAAGATATAATGGAATATCCTGCACAGAGTAGTTTTCATGCGGAACTGTTGGGGGATTCTGCGTCCATCAATCGATTTCAGCGATAAAATGAAACTCGAAATATCGAAACCACCTGGTTGTTTGGAGTTTTAGTATGATGATATTGAATCGAACGTAAAGAGCAACGCGAATGCGTATATAAATAGTAATAGTAATAATAAATTCACATAGTTAGTTACCCCGATTAATTCCGCTATAAAACAACCCGTGAGACATCCCCCAATAATAAATATTGTCCATCATATGTTAATGTCGGATGACTTTCGTTAAAAATTCTTCATCAAAAATTATATTTTGCCAACACTAATAACGTGCCTTTGCGCTATTTATAACTCGCATAACGCGTGTTGTGTCTTACCGGCGATTCCACCTCAGCGTGAGTAGTTTCAGCATTGCGAGACTGTACGCCAGAGACAAACCGAGGCCATCCATTAACAGCGAAAGATCACTCGCGTCAAAATGCACAATGACGTAATAGTATTGAAAATATTGCACCACCGTTAAAAATGTCATGTATGAAGTCCAGTAGAGATCCGGATAGGCCGAATCCGGCCACATGCCGACGAAACGAAGACCGATCTCGACCCAGGGACTGATGGTGGTTGTGCGCACCATCGTTTCTCGACAACTACACGTCAGCGTAATGTGAAACACATGTAACTCGACTTGCGCGGCTTGGACGATGACGAGAAAAGCACCGAGTGATTATAGCGGAGACAATAACGCGCAAGCGGCGTCGAGAATCGATCAGTCGTAATTGCACTTTGGTTATTCTAATCATATCAATTCCTGAGAAACTTGCGAGTGCACTGATGAAAAAAAATATAGAGGAGGTAGGAAGGAAACGTGATCATGTCCGACCCTCTCCTCAAACGGTGAGCGATTCAACAGTGATGCATAATGGCTGTAATTACCATGTAAATTACCATCCTAGAAGCCAATTCTGCGGACAGATTATGTCTACCAGCCGGAGGAAATGCGCATACGCTCATGCTAAAAATGTTGTAGAACGTAAACGCTTAAGCTTCACAGAAGAAATGGAGAGCATTGTCATTATGCACATTATAGCCAGATAGTGATATTTCTAGCGTAATGCTCGACGATCTCGTCGAGTCCGTTGCCCTTTACTTATACGTCTTATTATATTCTCCTACTTCTGTCTCACATGCGACTTGAAGAGAAAGCTTCTAGAAGAGTGTAGCCGATAGCCAGATTTATTAACATACAACATAGTAACGTAAGATGTTGTAAACGAAATAAATAATATAATCTACGTAAGATGTAAACGAAATAAATAATATAATCTACGCGATCTTGATTTTCACGTACACATTAATTGATCACAACTTTCGGAACTGTTGAAACACTTTGATAAGTGTTCAAGGTAACACGTTGAAGATGAATAATCGCGCAGAGAATGTGACTGGATAAAAAGATATGTAACGCGAAAGTGCATCTCTCTTCTATATATTTTGAAAAATTATTAACAAGATATACTATATATTTATACACTATATGTATGCACATGTTGAGAAAGTTTTAGACGCGTCGGTTATCACAAATCTCATCGTACATTGTTCATGTATAAAGTAAATTTATATCGAGATAAGTTTTCGCTTGTTTCGACTCCAATCCGATTTTCTACCTTCCGTAAATCATGAATCATAATGCATAACATTTTACTACTTGTAAAAATTACTGTAGTTGGGCCACGTTTCTCTAAATTTAATATATCGCAAGTAATACAGACATAAGAAGCAGAGGCCTTCATAACCTGGAAAAAAATAAATTCTCTCAAGAAATCTTAAAAATAAGCAGAATGCTTTTGTGCCACGATATATCTCACGCTGATAAATCTATCCAAAGTCAAATCTATAATTCTGCCGGCAGTGATTGTCAGACGCTTTTGGGATCGCATTATTATGAACAATAAAATGCAACTGTTGGACTGTAACATGTCATACCACAGCGACTCATAAGCTGCATCGCTGATCGATTTATTCTGAAAATAGGCATCATCCAAGTTCAAAACAGACTCGCGATTGCTAGAATGTTCTTTTTTATCGCTCAAAAAGTGCACAAAGCTTATATTATATACTTTAAAATATTTTTCAACAGATATGAAGTATAATATAGGGCATGATATATTCGGAAAACATAATATTCTATACAAATAACTGTAAATCAGTTATCACAAGTTTAGTATTACGTTAAATAAGATGATGGTTTACAGTTAATTTGCAGTTTAGGATACGTATAAGCAAATTAATAGGTATCCATATATTATGTGTATGAAAGCAAATTCTAAAACGTAACGTAAATTCTAACGTACGAATTTTACTAGCATACCTTGGAACTTAAGAATTCCCCCGCATAGCAGAATACGAACACTTCTATCGTCTTAGCGATATAAAAAATTATAGATTTGATCAAAACCGGCATGCCTTTGTCGTCGTTAAAATTCTGCAACCAACGTGAGCACATTAACGATTGCAAGCACGAAACAATTGATCTTACTTACAATTACGATCATGAGACCAATGCTACAGATGATAAAAGCGTTCCACAGGAGTTGCATCAACGAAATGACGGTGAATACACTTTCTATATTGTCTAACATAGCGATAATTTTGCGGTGTCTGAAAATAAGGTTCCTAATGACGGCCTTACGGGGATCGTCGTTACCGGATATTTGCCTCATGTCTTGTTTCATGATGTCGATTTACCCACCTACATGAAGTACCTGCAAACGTACGTCAAATTGGCAATGTTGCTGGAAAAAGTGTTAATTTGGAAAATTAGCGAGAAGCATTGTTCATTTTGTAACGCATATTCACATCTACAGGTCATATAGATAATAGATAACAGACGTCATCAACCTACCAAGCAGGCGAGTAACGCATTGATCATGCCAACTACAGAAGCAGCTGTGAATAAGTAGAAAAATTGTCCGGCCAAGACGCACTCAAAGAGTGGCGATATGGTAGGGTCGAAGAAGAACTCCATTTTCAAGGGCAGCTGCCGAATGTCGCTGCTGAATGCATAGGAGATACCAGCCATAGCGTGAATGCCAATAATCAGATAGGAACAGCGACGCGATTGATCGGCCGCAATCATCATGGTAGACAGCGAAGAATCGCGGATAATGCAATCGTTCCAGTCATTATTCATCGTGGACAAGATAATAGAATATCCTGCACAACATAGTTTACATGCGGAACTGTTGTGGGGCTAGCTCGCATTGTGATCGGTGTCAGAGATCAAAACTCAAAATATCACGAGCACCTGATTTTCTAGGGTTCTACTTCGATAATATCACTAGCAAACGTAAATACAGTAACACATAGTGAATATTAGTAGTAATAACCCTCTATAATGAATGTGAATATAAATTGTGTCAATTAATTCTATAATATAACATTGCGAAATATGCAAACTTGATAACAAATATTGTACAACATTAATATTGGACATCTTCTACTAGAATTTCTTTATCATATTCGTATTATATAGCATAAAGAATTGCATTCCAAATAAAGATAAAGAACTTCTTTCTACTAGACTAATTATTTCCACATTAACAATATATTTTCCATTCATCAGTCACATAATGGCGTGTCCTACCGACGGTTCCATCTCATTGCGACCAGCTTCAACGTGGAGAGACTGTTGGCCAAAGCCAGACCGAGACAATTCATCAGCAGCGAAAGATTTCGCGCATCAAAATGCACAATAACGTAGGAATACTGGAAATACTGCACCACCATTAAAAATATTATGTATGACGTCCAGTAGAGATCCTGTAGAGAGCCGAATTCGGCCACATGCCGATGAAACGGAGACCGACCTCGATCCAGGGACTGATAATAGTTGTGCGCACCATTGTTTCTCGACAACTCCAGCGTAAGAAACACGTGTGACCCGACTTCACGACTCAGACGATGACGAGAAAAGCACTGAGTGATTATAGCGGAGACAACAACGCGCAAGCGATGCCGAGGATCGATCAGTCATAATTACACATTGGTTATTCTACTCGCATTAGTCCCTGAGAGGCTTGCGAGTTCATCAATCATACGAAAAAAGAGAAACTGGAAAAAACACGACTACGTTCGACTCCTTTCTGAATCAGTGAACGATTCAAACATTACATGATGATGTATAAATATCTTGCAAATGTGAATTGCCATTCTAGAGACTGATTCTGTGCGCAAATTATATCCACCAACGGGAGAAACTAAGCGTACAACTTTGCTGAAAATATGATGCGCGGGACGTAAACGTGTAAGTCGCTTAGAAAAAGTTTAGAGCTTTATCATTATGAACATTATAGAAGAGCGATATTTGTGATATAATACCTGTCTTGAAGGATCCATTGCTGGCATCCTTCACTTACGTGTTTCTTCGTGTTCTCTCGCTCATGTTTTATGCGGCTTGAGCCGAAAGCTACCGGAAAGCTTGCGAAAGTGTAACAGATATTGCCAGCTTTGTCAACATGTGATGCGTAAAGATGTTGTAAGTGATGATATAATTTACAAAATGATTTAATAAATCATATAATTTACAACTTTTAAGTACATATTATATTAATTCAACTGTATGTCGTTGGCAAGTTATTATAAAAGCACGTTTAAAAAAGCACGCATTTGAAGGTGTGTATACAGAGAGAACGATTTATTAAATCAAATAAATGTTTCTTTGGAATAGTCCAAAAAAATTATTTGGTTGACACAACAAAAATATTTCTTTGGAACTAAGCCGCAAATAAATATCTTTGTTGCCTCAAACAAAATTTTGTTCGATCAATCGAAAAATTCTTTTGGACTATTCCAAGGAAGCGTTTATTTGATTCAACCAAATCGTTCTCTCTGTGTAAACACACGTAAATTACGACTAGAGAAAAGGATGACGAAAGTGTATCTGTTTTCTATTTATTTTAAAATTATTGATAAAACACACTATATATTCACCCTGTGCACTTTTCTCGTGTCTGTAACAAACTTTTATTAGTAAAACTTCACACGAGTCGATCATTCCATATCGTAGCGCACATTTTTGATATAAAATAAATTGATACTGAGACTGTGTCTCGCTTGTTTCAACTCGAAGCCGATTTTGTGCTTCTCCAATATCATGGATCATAATGTACGTAACTCTTTCCAGCACGTCCGCAAAAATTGCTGTGGGTAGATCGTATTTTCCCAAATTTAATACATCGCATGTAATACAGACATATAAGAAGCAGACGCCTTCATAACCTGGAAAAAATAGATTTCCTCGGAGGATACAAAGAATGAATGGAGTGCGTTTATGTTATAATATCTCACGCTCATAAATCCATCCAAAGTTAAATCAACAATTTTCCCGGCGGTGATTGTCAGTCGCTTTTGGGATCGCACTATTATGAACAATAAGACGCGACTGTTGGACGGTAACATGTCATACCACAGTGACTCATAAACTGCATCGCTAATCGACTTACTCTGGAAAAAGGTACGATTCAAATTCCAAACAGAAGCACGAACACTTAAATTTTCTTTCTACCACTCAAATATTCTATCTACTCAAAAGTTATATTGAAAAATTTGTTTAACAGAGATAACATATAGTACCGTAGAAGTAATTCAGAATAGAAAAAAGTTATTGCATACCTTAGCACTTAAGAACTCGCCCGCGTAACAAAATACGAAAACTTCTATCGTCTTAGCAACATAAAGAAGCATGGATTTCACCAAAGCCGTCATGCCTTTCTTGATGCTGAGACTCTGCAAGCAACGGACGGTGAAGAAATTAGTAATAAGGGAAAGACGAAACACAAATTGGTCTTACTTACAATTACTATCATCAAACCGCTGCAGCAGATGATCAAGGTATTCCACAAGAGTTGCATCAACGCGATGACCGTAAATACAGTCTCTATATTGTCCGCCAAAATGATAATTTTACGATGTCTGAGAACAAGATTTCTGATGACGGCTAAGGATATACGAGGATCATTGTCGACGGGAATTTGCAATAGATCATGTCTCATGATGTCAATTTGACCGCCCACATGAAGCACCTGCGAGCGTAAAGCAACATACAGCAATACTACTGAATCTAAGGAATCCATTTTTCTTGAAACTTACTTCATATGTGGATTGGATCATTCTTGCATAACCATAACCAACTATAGAGGTAATAATATCTATGAACGTCATCAGCTTACCAATGAAGCGAGTAACGCATTGATCATGCCAACTATAGAAGCAATCGTCAGAATATATAGAAATTGCACGACCAAGATGCATTCGAAGAGTGGCGATTTGGTGAAATCGAAAGAAAACTCCATTTTCACGGGGAGCTCCCGAACGTCGGTGTTTACCGAACGGAACATGTAAGCACCAATCGACAAAGCGAAACCAGCCATTGCGTGAATACCGATGAGCAGATAAGAACAACGACGGGACTGATTTGCCGCTCTCATCATAATGGATCTTGAAATTTCGTATTTAATGCACTCGTTCCAGTCTTTATTTATTGCCGATAGGACATAGTGGAATATCCTACAGAAAGTAGATTACATGGGGAAGTATTATTGTAAACTTCACAGACTGATCGATGTCAGCGATCAACACTCGAAATATTAGAAAGACCTGATTGTCTACAGTTTTACTTGAACATATGAATGTTAATCATAAATGTAAACAATAAAACACAAACAATGAATCTTAAATAGTAATAACTAATGAGTGTAAATAGTAAATTATTGCTACTAATTCCAGAATAAAAAAACAACGCGCGAAAAATCCCTTGATAACAAACTTACACTAACAACATTAATATCGGATTTCTTCTATTAAAGTTTTTTATCTTCCATGTCGGTATTATATATAAGAAAAAATGCACTCTATATATAACTTCGACGCTACTTATCAGTCACATGAGACGGCTAATGGTGTGTCTTACCGACGATTCCATCTCATTGCGAACAGTTTCAGCGTGGCGAGACTGTTGGCCAGAGCCAGGCCGAGACAATCCATCAGCAGCGAAAGATTTCGCGCGTCAAAGTGCACAATAACGTAGGTATATTGATAATATTGCATCATCACTATTATCATTACATACGACGTCCAATAGAGATTCGGATAGGACGAACTCGGCCACATGCCGATGAAACGGAGACCAATCTCGACCCAAGGACTGATGGTAGTTGTACGCATCATCGTTTTTTGACAACTACACGTCAGTGTGGGAAACACATGTAATCCGACTTGCACGACCCGGGCGATGACAAGAAAAGCACTGGGTGATTATAGCGGAGACAATAACGCGCAAGCGGCACCGAGAATCGATCAGTCGTAATTGCACTTTGGTTTTTCTGATCGTTTTAGTTCCTGAGAAGCTTACAACAACGATTATAAGAAAAAAGAGAGACTGGAAAAAAAACACGACTAAGCTCGACTCCCTTCTGAGTCAGTGAGCAATTGAATAGCGTTTTGTAATGGCGTATTATTATCTTACAAGTACGAATTACTATTGTAGAAGTCGGTTGTACGCGCACATTAAATTCACCGACGGTAGAAAATACGCCCTCGATATCGCTAAAAGTATCATGTGTGGAAGGTAAGCCGCTTAGAAAAAGTCTAAAACTTTATCATTATGCACATTATAGAAGAGTGATATTTCTGATATAATAAAATAGTCTTGTGGGGTCCATTGTCCTTCGCTTACGTGTTTCTTTGTGTCTTTTCGCTCATGTTTCGTGCGACTTAAGCCAAAAATTACCGCAGCAAGAGTGGAACGGATATTTCCAGCTTTGTACGCATGTGACGCGTAAAGATGTTGTAAATGATATAAATCATATAATCTATAGCTTTAAGGTAGATATTATATTGACTCAAGTATATGTCGTTAGCGAGTAATTGTAACAGCACGTTTAAAAAACACGCACTTGAGGATGCGTAAATGCACGTAAAATGCGGCTGGTGACCGGGATGACGAAAGTGCGTCTTCTAATTATTTTATATTTACTGATAAGACACATTATATATTTGCATTGTGCACTTTTTTCGTGTCTGTAATAAACTTTTACTAGTAAAACTTCACAGGAGCTAGATATTCCATTTCGCAGCCCATATTTTTCGTATAAAATAAATTGATACTGAGACTGTGTCTCGCTTGTTTCAACTCCAAGATCTTCTGTGTCTCCAATATCATGGGTCATAATGTACGTAACTTTTCTCAGCACATCCGTAAAAATTGTCGCAGATAAATTATATTTACCCAAATTTAATACATCGCATGTAATACAGACATATAAGAAGCAGATGCTTTCATAACCTGAAAAAAATAGATTTCCTCGGAGGATACCAACAATGAAGGAAGTGCATTTGTGTAAATATAATATCTCACGCTCATAAATCCATATTGTGTAAATATAATATCTCACGCTCATAAATCCATCCAAAGTTAAATCAATAATTTTCCCGGCGGTGATTGTCAGTCGTTTTTGGGATCGTACTATTATGAACAATAAGACGCGACTGTTGGACGGTAACATGTTATACCACATTGACTCGTAAACTGCATCGCTAATCGACTTACTCTGAAAAAAGTTAAGATACAAATTCCAAACAGAAGCACGACTACTTAAATTTTCTTTCTATAACTCAAATATTCTCTCTGCTCAAAAGTTATACTGAAAAATTTGCTTAACAGAGATAACATATAGTACCGTTATTTGGAAGTAGAATAACTCTAACAATGAACAATAGAAGCTATTTGGAATAAAAAAAGTTATTGCATACCTTAGCGCTTAAGAACTCGCCCGCATAACAAAATACGAAAACTTCTATTGTCTTAGCAATATAAAGAAGCATGGATTTCACCAAAGCCGTCATGCTTTTCTTGATACTGAGACTCTGCGAGCAACGGACGGTGAAGAAATTAATAATACGAGAAGGACGAAACATACAAATTGATCTTACTTACAATTACTATCATCAAACCGCTGCAGCAGATGATCAAAGTGTTCCATAGGTGTTGCATCAACGCGATAGCCGTGAATACAGTCTCTATGTTGTCCGCCAAAGTAATGATTTTGTGATGTCTAAGAACAAGATTTCTGATGACGGCTAAGGATACACGGGGATTATCTTGGACGGACATTTGCAACAAATCTTGTCTCATCATGTCAACTTGGCCGCCCACATGAAGCACCTACGAGCGTAAAAAAACATACAGCAATACTGCTGGTCCTACGGAACTCATTTTTCTTAAAACTTACTTTATATGTGGATTGGATCATTCTTGTATAACCATAACCAACTATAGAGATAATATCTATGAACGTCATCAGCTTACCAGCGAAGCGAGTAACGCATTGATCATGCCAGCTGTAGAAGCAATCGACAGTATGTAGAGAAATTGCACGGTCAAGATGGACTCGAAGAGCGGCGATTTGGTGTAATCGAAAGAAAACTCCATTTTCACAGGGAGCTCCCGAACGTCGGTGTTTACCGAACGGAACATGTAAGCACCAACCGACAAAGCGAAAGCGGCCATTGCGTGAATGCCGATGAGGAAGTAAGAACAACGACGAGACTGATCGGCCGCTGTCATCATGATGGATCGGGAAAATTCGTATTTAATGCACTCGTCCCAGTCTTCATCTATTGCCGATAGGATAGAGTGAAATATCCTACAGAAAGTAGCTTACATGGGATACTGTTATAGAAAACTACACGCACTGATCGATGTCAATCATCAACACTCGAAATATTAGAAAGACCTGATTGTCTAGAGTTTTACTTCAACAATATTAATCGTAAATGTAAACAGTAAAACACAAGTAATGAATTTTAAATAGTAATAACTAATGAGCGTAAATTATTCCTACTAATTCCAGAATAGAACAACGCGCGACATATCCCTTAATAACAAACTTTCTCCAAAAAATATCGAATTTCTTCTATTAAAATTTCTTTATCGCTCATCTCGGTATTATATATAATAAAAAAGTTGTCGATACTCTATATATAACAACTTCGCGCCATTTATCATACGGAAAAAAAGATTTGCTAATATATGTACAACTAAAAATATTAACTGCAGGAGCAAATTTTCTTGCTTTCATAGTAAAAGTTATTTAGCTATCACAACTAAATAACTTTTACTATAAAAGCAAGAAAATTTACTCTTGCAAATTAATATTGTTAGTTGTCCATATATTAGCAAATATTTTTTTTCCGTGTAGTCACACAAGATGGCTAATGGCGTGTCTTACCCGCGGTTCCATCTCATTGCGACCAGCTTCAGTGTGGCGAGACTGTTGGCCAAAGCCAGGCCGAGACAATCCATCAGTAGCGAAAGATTTCGCGCGTCAAAGTGCACAATAACATATGTATATTGATAATATTGCATCGTTACTACTATCATTATATACGACGCCCAGTAGAGATCCGGATAGGCGGAATTCGGCCACATACCGGTGAAACGGAGACCGACCTCGACCCAGGGACTAATGGTAGTCGTGCGCACCATCGTTTCTCACTACTTCGACAACTACACGTCAGCGTGGGAAACACATGTAATCCGACTTGCACGACCCGGGCGATGACGAGAAAAGCACTGAGTTATAGCGGAGACAATAACGCGCAAGCGACGCGGAGGATCAATCGTAATTGCACTTTGGTTTTTCTGATCGCTTTAGTTGCTAAGAAGCTTGCACCGCCGATTATAAGAAAAAAGAGAGACTGAAAAAAAAACACGACTACGCTCGACTCCCTTCTGAGTCAGTGAGCAATTGAACAGCGTTTTATAATGGCGTGTTATTATCTTACAAGTACGAATTACTATTCTAGAAGTCGGTTGTACGAGCACATTAAATTCACCGACGGTAGAAAATACGCGCTCGAAATTGCTAAAAGTATCGTGTGTGGAAGTCTAAGCCGCTTAGAAAAAGTCTAAAACTTTATCATTATGGACATTATAGAAGAGTGATATTTCTGATATAATAAAACAGTCTTGTGCGGTCCATTGTCCTTCGCTTACGTGTTTCTTTGTGTCCTTTCGCTCATGTTTCGTGCGACTTGAGTGAAAAATTACCGGAGAGCTTGCAAGAGTGCAACGGATATTTCCAGCTTTGTACGCATGTGACGCGTAAAGATGTTGTAAATGATATAAATCATATAATCTATAGCTTTAAGGTAAATATTATATTGACTCAAATATATGTCGCTGGCGAGTAATTGTAACAGCACGTTTAAAAAACACGCACTTCAGGATGCGTAAACGCACGTAAAATGATGCTGGTGACAAGGATGACGAAAGTGTGTCTTCTATTTATTTTATATTTATTGATAAGACACATTATATATTTGCATTGTGCACTTCTATCGTGTCTGTAATAAATTTTTACTAGTAAAACTTCACAGGAGCCGGATATTCCATATCGCAGCGTACATTTTTCATATAAAACTAATTGATACTGAGACTGTGTCTCGCTTGTTTCAACTCCAAGATCTTCTGTGTCTCCAATATCATGGGTCATAATGTATGTAACTTTTCTCAGCACATCCGTAAAAATTGTCGCAGATAAATTATATTTACCCAAATTTAATACATCGCATGTAATACAGACATATAAGAAGCAGATGCCTTCATAACCTGAAAAAAATAGATTCCCTTGGAAGATACCAACAATGAAGGGAGTGCATTTGTGTAAATATAATATCTCACGCTCATAAATCCATATTGTGTAAATATAATATCTCACGCTCATAAATCCATCCAAAGTTAAATCAATAATTTTCCCGGCGGTGATTGTCAGTCGCTTTTGGGATCGTACTATTATGAACAATAAGACGCGACTGTTGGACGGTAACATGTTATACCACATTGACTCGTAAGCTGCATCGCTAATCGACTTACACTGGAAAAAGTTAAGATCCAAATCCTAAACAGAAGCATGACTACTTAAATTTTCTTTCTATCACTCAAATATTCTCTCTGCTCAAAAGTTATATTGAAAAATTTGCTTAACATAGATAACGTGTAGTACTGTTATTCGGAAGTAGAATAACTCTAACAATGAACAATAGAAGTTATTTGGAATAAGGAAAAGTTATTGCATACCTTAGCGCTTAAGAACTCGCCCGCGTAACAAAATACGAAAACTTCTATTGACTTAGCAACATAAAAAAGCATGTATTTCACGAAACCCGCTATGCTTTTCTTGATGCTGAGACTCTGCGAGCAACGGACGGTGAAGAAATTAATAATATGAGAAGGACAAAACACACAAATTGATCTTACTTACAATTACTATCATCAAACCGCTGCAACAGATGATCAAAGTGTTCCATAGGTATTGCATCAACGCGATGGCTGTGCATACATTCTCTATGTTGTCCACCAAAGAGATGATTTTGCGATGTCTGAGAACAATATTTCTGATGACGGTTAAGAATACACGGGGATCATTTTGGACGGACATTTGCAACAAATCTTGTCTGAGGATGTCAATTTGACCGCCCACATGAAGTACCTGCGAGCGTAAAGCAATGTACTACTGAATCTAAGAAACTCATTTTTCTTAAAACTTACTTTATATGTGGGTTGGATCATTCTTGTATAACCATAACTAACTATAGAGATAATATCTATGAACGTCATCATCTTACCAACGAAGCGAGTAACGCATTCATCATGCTAGCAGAAGAAGCAATCGTCAGTATGTAGAGAAATTGCATGGTCAAGATGGACTCGAAGAGCGGCGATTTGGTGTAATCGAAAGAAAACTCCATTTTCACGGGGAGCATCCGAACGTCGCTGTTTACCGCACGGAATACGTAAGCACCAACCGACAAAAGGAAAGCGGACATTGTGTGAATGCCCATGAGGAAGTAAGAACAACGACGAGACTGATCGGCCGCTGTCATCATGATGGATTGGGAATATTCGTATTTAATGCCCTCGTCCCAGTCTTCATTTATTGCCGATAGGACATAATGAAATATGCTACAGAAAGTAGCTTGCATGGGATACTGTTATAGAAAACTACATGCACTGGTCGATGTCAACCATTAACACTCGAAATATTAGAAAGACCTGATTGTCTAGAGTTTTACTTCAACAATATTAATCGTTAATGTAAACAGTAAAACACAAGTAATGAATTTTAAATAGTAATAACTAATAAGCTTAAATATTAAATTATTCCTACTAATTTCAGAGTAGAACAACGCGCGACATATCCCTTAATAACAAACTTTCTCCAAAATACATTAATATCGAATTTCTTTTATTAAAATTTCTTTATCGCTCATCTCGGTATTATTAGGTGCGCAATTAAGTTTCCGGATTTCACATATGGATGGCGCTAACGACATATGTAGTCGACATACATGTCTAAAGTTGTGTTTCTTTTATAGCTTGGACTTCTGTCAACAATAACCAGTCATAATACCAACACATATCGTAACGCAAAAATATTTTTTCTAACAATGAAGATGTCGAGTTTTGTGCCAAATAAACAGCATTTGCGGGAAGCTTTGCTTTTCTGCTCTAACTTGAAAAAAAATGCAGCTGAAGCACGTCGTTTGCTTGAGGAGTCCTACGGCGAACATGTACCATCGAAAATTAGCTGTGAAGATTGGTTTAAACGCTTCAGAAGTGGCGATTTCGACACTAAGGACAAGGAGCGCTCCGGAAGACCAAACAATTGAGGACGCCGATCTGCAAGCGTTATTGGATGAAGATGATACGCAAACACAAGATCAATTTGCGAAGGCATTAAACATGACTCGCCAAGGTATTTCCAAACGTTTACATGCCATGGGAAAAATTCAAAAGAAAGGAAAATGGATGCCGCATGAGTTGACTGAGAGATAGATGGAAAATCGAAAAGCCACTTCCAAAATTTTGCTTTTGCGACATGAAAGAAAGAGTTTCCTGCATCGAATTGTTACTGGCGATGAGAAGTGGATATATTTCGAGAATCCCAAACGCAAAAAATCGTGGCTTTCACCTGTCGCATCAACATCGACGGCACGGCCAAATCGCTTTGGAAAGAAGACAATGCTCTTGGTTGCGTTTGGTGGGACCAGAAAGGAATCGTGTACTATGAGCTGCTGAAACCGGGCAAAACTGTCAATGGGCATCGCTACCGACAACTAATCAAC